TTTTTGTTTTTTTTTTTTTTGAGACGGAGTTTCGCTCTTGTTACCCAGGCTGGAGTGCAATGGCGCGATCTCGGCTCACCGCAACCTCCGCCTCCTGGGTTCAGGCAATTCTCCTGCCTCAGCCTCCTGAGTAGCTGGGATTACAGGTACACACCACCATGCCCAGCTAATTTTTTGTATTTTTAGTAGAGACGGGGTTTCACCATGTTGACCAGGATGGTCTCGATCTCTTGACCTCGTGAACCACCCGCCTCGGCCTCCCAAAGTGCTGGGATTACAGGCGTGAGCCACCGCGCCCGGCTATTCTGTGCTTTTATCTTTTTTTTTGTTTGTTTGTTTTTGAGAGGGAGTCTCACTCTGTTGTCCAGGCTGGAGTGCAGTGGTGCAATTTCAGCTCATGACAACCTCCACTCCCTGGGTTCAAGGGTTCAAGTACTTCTCCTTCCTTGGCCTTCCGAGTAGCTGGGATTACAGGCATCCACCACCATGCCCGACTAAGTTTTGTATTTTTAGTAGACACAGGGTTTCACCATGTGAGCCTAGCTAGTCTTGAACCTTGGCCTCGGCCCTCGAAAGCACTGGGATTACAGGTGTGAGCCACCTCGCCCAGCCTGCTTTTATCTTTGGATAGAGATGCTGTGAGATGTTGTCACAGTGACAGTGCTGATTTTCTTTTTTCTTTTCTTTTTTTTTTTTTTTGAGACAGAGTCTAGCTCCGTAGCCCAGGCTGGAGTTCAGTGGCGAGATCTCAGCTTGCTGCAACCTCCGCCTCCCGTGTTTAAGTGATTCTCCTGTCTCAGCCTCCTGAGTAGCTAGGATTACAGGCGCCCACCACCATGCTAATTTTTGTATTTTTAGTAGAGATGGGATTTTACCATGTTGACCAGGCTAGTCTTAAAGAACTCCTGACCTCAAGCGATCCATCCACCACAGCCTCCCAAAATTCTGGGGTTACAGATGTGAGCCACTGCACCCCACCCAGGACTAATATTCTTTTTCTGTTTTGTTTTGTTTTTTGAGACGGAGTCTTGCTCTGACGCCCAGGCTGGAGTGCAGTGGCGAGATCTCAGCTCATTGCAACGTCTGCCTCCTAGGTTCAAGCAATTCTCCCGCCTCAGCCACCCGAGTAGCTGGGATTACAGGCATGCTGCCATGCCCGGCTAATTTTTTGTATTTTTAGTAGAGATGGGGTTTCACCATGCTAGCCAGACTGATCTCAAACTCCTGACCTCGTGATCTGCCCACCTTGGCCTCCCAAAGTGCTGAGATTACAGGCATGAGCCACCGCACCTGGCCTAGGACTCATATTCTTAAAAAAATTTCATAATTATTTCAATTATTTATTTATTTTTATTTTTTTTGAGGCGGAGTTTTGCTCTTGTTACCCAGGCTGGAGTGCAATGGCGTGATCTCGGCTCACCGCAACCTCCGCCTCCTGGGTTCAGGCAATTCTCCTGCCTCAGCCTCCTGAGTAGCTGGGATTACAGGCACGCGCCACCATGCCCAGCTAATGTTTTGTATTTTTAGTAGAGACGGGGTTTCACCATGTTGACCAGGATGGTCTCGATCTCTTGACCTCGTGATCCACCCGCCTCGGCCTCCCAAAGTGCTGGGATTACAGGCTTGAGCCACCGCGCCCGGCCTATTTCAATTAATTATATCCCCTTATACACAAAACACAAACCCAGCCATAGTCTTGCCCTTGCCATGGTGTCTGCATTCTCCCTTCTTTCGCTGCCTGACGTTTGCAGCCCGAAGCTCTCACACCTGCTGTTTTGTGTCTTTTCAGTTCTGGCTGATATTGCACCTTCCACAGATGACGTGGGTGAGTTCAGACCTGGGACCCCAGGCCATCAGGGCCCTTCTAGGCTTTCTCCAGAGCCCGTTCTGGATGATGTGCAGCTGCTGAAGGATCCTAAATAGACAGGATGACACTTGATGTGGCACATTTTTCCAGTAGTTCAATTCAAACTGATGACATTGTTGAACACCCAACAAGCAGGAACTGTGCTAATCTTTCTCTCAAAGTTTCAAGACTTGACGGGTAAAGGCAAGATAAAAGTAGAAACACATGTTCTGGAAGATAAGGGGTAGAAGTAACCCCTGCTTTCACCAAGTTTTTTTTTTTTTTTTTTGAGACAGAGTCTTGCTCTTGTTGCCCAGGCTGGAGTGCAATGGCCCAATCTCGGCTCACCGCAACCTCTGCCTCCTGAGTTCAAGTAATTCTCCTGCCTCAGCCTCCTGAGTAGCTGGGATTACAGGCACCCACCACCATGTCTGGCTAGTTTTTAAATTTTCAATAGAGATGGGGTTTTGCCATGTTGGTCAGGCTGGTCTTGAACTCCTGACCTCAGGTGATCCACCTGCCTCGGCCTCCCAAAGTGTTGGGATTACAGGCATGAGCCAGTGGGCCCAACCTCAGCTGAATTTTGAAAGAAGAAAGCCAGGAGGTCAAGGAGGGGATGGACATTCTAGCCAGAGGGAACAGCATGTTTAGAGATATAAAAGCGCCTGGGTGCAGTGGCTTATGCCTGTCATCCCTGTAATTTGGGAGACCGAGGCAGGCAGATCACCTGAGTTTGGGAGTTCAAGACCAGCCTGACCAACATGGAGAAACCCCCGTCTCTACTAAAAAAAATACAAAATTGTCAGGTGCGGTGGCTCACGCCTGTAATCCCAGCACTTTGGGAGGCCGAGGCGGGTGGATCATGAGGTCAAGAGATCAAGACCATCCTGGTCAACATGGTGAAACCCCGTCTCTACCAAAAATACAAAAAATTAGCTGGGCATGGTGGCACGTGCCTGTAATCCCAGCTACTCAGGAGGCTGAGGCAGGAGAATTGCCTGAACCTAGGAGGCGGAGGTTGCGGTGAGCCGAGATTGCGCCATTGCACTCCAGCCTGGGTAACAAGAGTGAAACTCTGCCTCAAAAAAAAAAAAAAAATTAGCTGGGCATGGTAGCACATGCCTGTAATCCCAGCTACTCAGCAGGCTGAGGTAGCAGAGTTGCTTGAATCCGGGAGGCGGAGGTTGCAGTGAGCCGAGATCATGCCACTGCACTCCAGCCTGGGAAACAAGAGCAAAACTGTCCCAAAATAAAATAAAATAAAGATGTAAAAGCAAAGGGAGTTTGGTCCATGAGGGAAACTGAGGTTTTGTGGTTTTTTTGTGGACGGCTAGAGAAAAAACTATATGGGCCAAGTGGTAGGAAGTAAGAAAAGGAGAGAGAAGCTACATTTTTGTTTGTTTGTTTGTTTTGAGACAGAGTAGTCTATTGTCCAGGCTGGAGTGCAATGGCACGATCCCAGCTCGTTGCAACCTCAGCCTCACACGTGGCTGGGATTATAGGCATGCACCACCATACTCAGCTATTTTTCTGTTTTAGTAGAGACAGGGTTTTGCCATGTTGACCAAGCTGGTCTCAAACTCCTGACCTCAAGTTATCTGCTGCCTTGGCCTCCCAAAGTGCTGAGATTATAGGTAGCTAGATTATTTTTTAACAAATCGTTATCGAAAGCCTGCTACTAGGTACCAAGGATATAAACGTGAACAAAACTGATTTTCTTCTACTAGACATCTTTTGTGTAATATACAAGATAGACAACTTTATTCAGTTTCACAAAATTCTATAATTAGGATAAGCAAGAGAAGCTATGGAAGACACAGAAAGAGTTTTTGGCTAGGTTCAGTGCTGGGGGTGAGAAAAGGCTTTTTCTGGAGGGTACATTTGACTAAGCTGTTTCCTGAAAGACAAGTAGAAGCGAACCAAGTGGATAGAAGAGGGAACAACTTTTAGGTAAGGAAGACAATATAAATTAAAAAGTAGGATGGACATGAAAACCAACCAGAGAGACATTTATGCAAAATAAGATTATAATTAGATTTGTGCATTGGAAAGATCATGCCCCACCTCCACACCCACTACTGTACTCCCAGGGCAGTGTGGAGAACTTTATTTGACCATGATCGCCTGGAAGCGGGAAAACCAGCAAGGCTACTGCTGCAGTGTTGCCAATAAAAGATTCTGGCACATGAATTAATTAGCAAGGTGTGGCGGCACGCACCTGTAATCCCAGCTACTCAGAAGGCTGAGGCAGGAGAATTGCCTGAACTTGGGAGACAGAGGTTGCAGTGAGCCGAGATCATGCCAATGTCGCCCAGCCTGGGCGACAGAGCGAGACTCCGTCTATATATAAATAAATAAATAAATAAATAGAAGCTGGCCTGAATCAAGGTAGAGACAGGGAGAACCAAACGTGAGCTATAGGGGAGAACGGATTGCTGAGATGACTAGATGTAGCTGCTGGGTGGACGTTGGTCTCATTCACTGAAGAATAGAATTGGTGAAGAGAAAGATAATTAAGTCAGTTTAAGATACGTTGAATATGAAGGATCTTTGAAAATTCAAGAACTCTTCCATAAAATGGCAGTGGATTTATAGGTCTGGAGCTTAGGAGAGAGATGGGATTGAAAATATAGGTTTGGGCCGGGCGCGGTGGCTCATGCCTGTAATCCTAGCACTCTGGGAGGCCGAAGCAGGTGGATCACCTGAGGTCGGGAGTTCAAGACCAGCCTGACCAACATGGTGAAACCCCGTCTTTAAAAAAAAAAAAAAAGGAAAGGAGAAAGGAAAAAAAATCCCATCCTACCTCCTAATCTCTTCAATTTTGTCTAGCAAATCAGCCCAATAAGGTTTTATTTTAGAAGTTGCTAAGAGTTATACATTAATTTGCTCCCTATTTATGGGACTCCAAGCAGGACCCGAGTGAGGCAGCGTGGCAATTACATCGGTAGTAACTTCTAGAATTGGCAATAATGGAATAAAATTTCTGCCTTTCAGCCTCCCCCAGTGATAAAAATGCGACTGCAGGTATGATTGCTGCTTGTATGTCATCTCATACCTTTTTTCTTCCTGTGGATCCCTCATCTCCTCTTTCTTTGGGGGGTGCTTGGTGCATCTTCTAGTTTACTTCCAATCATTTCTCAGAGTATTAGTATCTTCACTTTCTTACTCCTTTTTTTTTTAAAAATGAGTGTCTTTCATAAAAATCATGAGGAAATAATTGAATGAATGTTGCATGGTCCCCAGATAGCCCTCTCCCTAAAATACCCTTGGACTTTATTTGGTGGTTAGTGGCTCGGGAAGTGAAATCATTTTAACAGCAAGGACTCCGTATTACCATAGATGTCATGGTTAAAATTGCTTTCCTAATGTACTGATAATCCTGATATATTGCTAGGGTTGAAAACTACTGGAACAGAGAAATAGCAACCTGCCTAAGAAATTTTATTTTTTCAGAATGGGATTATCAGCATTTACATTTTATGTATAAATATATATATAATATATAATATATAGATATAATTGCATATAATATATATAAATGTACATGATATATATTATTGTGCTGATGCACAGAGTACATATATATATATATATACACATATATAAATTTATATATATATATAAAAAATTTTTTTTTGAGTTGTAGTCTTGCTCTGTCACCCAGGCTGGAGTGCAGTGGCATAATCTCAGCTCACTACAACCTCTGCCTCCCAGGTTCAAGCAATTCTTGTGCCTCAGCTTCCCGAGTAGCTGGGATTACAGGCGTGCACCACCACTCCTGGCTAATTTTTGTATTTTTAGTAGAGACAGCATTTCACCATGTTGGCCAGGCTGGTCTCAAACACCTGACCTCAAGTGATCCACCCGCCTCGGCCTCCTAAAGTGCTGGAATTACAGGCATGAACCACTGTGCCCAGCCTATTTTATATTGGATAATCCTAGAATGACTTTATCCCTAGAAGTGCTCCCAGAGATTATTTTATCCACTTCTGCTTCCAAGTAGGGAAGCACCAAAACTTCATTTAGTCAATTTCTTCTTGTTCTGTTTTTGGTGAGCAGAAAGGATGTAGCCCAATTTATAATGATTGTCTGCAGAGATTACTCTGTATTTTTTTCCACTCTCTCTTTCCCAATTCCTTTAATCCTTTGTTTATGCTGTGTCTATTTGGATCTCCTTATTTGTTGTGTTGGGTTTCTTCAGACTGCTGGGTTGAGACATTTGCTTGCACAAGGCTCTACTCTGTGCGCCGGCCAGTTCGACTATGCATTCATCAGTCATGCTTCATCAGGTAAGGGATCCCAGAATGCCCAAAAAGCATCTTCCATGGTAGTGTTTTTGTGTTGGTAACTATTTAATGAACACCCACTATGAAGCTGCAAACTTTAGTGGGGCGAAAGTTGTTAGCACAACCCTCCTAGTTATTCCTGAATGTGCCCACTAGAACCTGGAGTCTGGGCTGAGGCATACAAACAATAGGCAGGTGGTAAGTGAAGGCGAGGGCTGGAGGGAGAGTCACGAGGGAAACACTGGCATGCTCCATTAATTACCCGGTAGAAGGAGGCAGGAGCAATCCAACTCTAAGGTGGAAAATAGTGGGGAGGAATATTAAGCCTCACTCTAGGTGGGGTGGGCAAAGTGTCACTAAGAACAGTAATGAAAACAATGGCCTTTGCAACAACTTGGATGGAGCTGGAAGCCATTATTCTAAATGAAGTAACTAAACAATGGAAAACCAAATATTGTCTCTTCTCCCTTATAAGTGGGAGATAAGCTATGAGAAGGCAAAAGCATAAGAATGAGATCATGGACTTTGGGGGCTCAGGGGAAAGGGTAGGAGAAGATGAGAGATAAAAGACTACATATTGGGTACAGTGTACACTGCCGGGTACGGTGTACACTGCCAGGTACGGGTGAACCAAAACCTCAGAAATCACCACTAAAGAACTCATCTATGTAAACGAAAACCACCTGTACACCAAAAACTACTGAAATGAAAATTAAAAAAATAGAAGAGTAATTCATACCATTCCCTCCTCTATTTTCCCCCAGTGTGTGGGGGGAAAATGTCTGAAATACTTAAGGAAATGCATTTGGGGAAGAGCAGATAGGGGAAAGTGGGGGACCCGAGAGCTGAAGAGGCATCCCAGACCCAGGTTAGTGCTTCTCTGAAGGCTTTCTTCCATCCCCTTCCTTGCCGATGACATTGGGACGGCTGCAGGTTTCGACGCACGTACCATGTCAACAAGGAGATCTGCACCCGTCTTGTCTGTAAGGAACACGAAGCTATGAAAGGTAAGATGACGTCTGGATGTTTACTGGGGGGAAGCAGTTATGAGGGGGTAAATAGGGACATGACATTAATATATCCAAAGTCCTGTATTGGAGGAGGGGTTCAGGCTATCCCCTTAGATTCCATCAGCTCCTGCTGGAAGTTATTCCAAATAAACAATCTATGTAAAGAGGTATGCTTGATATAGAAACACAACCCTTACTTTGGGAGGCCGAGGCGGGTGGATCACGAGGTCAAGAGATCGAGACCATCCTGGTCAACAAGGTGAAACCCCGTCTCTACTAAAAATACAGAAATTAGCTGGGCATGGTGGCGCGTAGTCCCAGCTACTCAGGAGGCTGAGGCAGGAGAATTGCCTGAACCCAGGAGGCGGAGGTTGCGGTGAGCCGAGATCGCGCCATTGCACTCCAGCCTGGGTAACGAGAGCGAAACTCCATCTCAAAAAAAAAAAGTAAAAAGAAACACAACCCTAAGAAAAGTACTCCTAGATTCCTTTCCTACTATGTTGTAGCCCCACAGTGTCTCTTATTTAGAGAGCTTTCTGACACTCCAGCTGTTTTAAAGATCATTCACTGGGATTCTAGGGAAAATTTCAAATCAGCCATTACAGATAATAAACTCTGCTAGTCCTCAGCCATGTTCATAATTAAAAATAAAACATACACACGCGCACGCCCACGCACTAATTTGGAGACAACAAGGTTTGGATAGGGCCTATAAATAAAAAATAGATGGGACATTTAGAAATCAGCTACGTTATAAATAGTTTGCCAATTCCAGGAACAATGTACATTTCTTACTGTGACATTTCAGGTAGAAGAAGGTAGAAAGATGTTATAGAACCAATTACAAGGGCCCAAAATGTGTGGTTATAGACCTTACTTGGTGGGAACAAAGATACCTCTCCCCTTCCCCGTGGCCAGCCCCGAACGATGGCTGCGGTTGGTGAAGACACCACAGACAAAGCCATTTCTGACTCAGCAGCCCGCTTTGCGCTGAGTTCCTGAGTAAGAACTGTAGTTAACTTCGCAGAAGGAAACTTGCTGTATGCCCCCATTTGGCTTTGTGCAAGCCACCTGCAAGGGAAGCACCTTGAGATTGAGGATGAGTATTTGGGACTCTAGGCACTTTCAAGCATCTCAGGGGATTTACTAAAGTTAGCTATTTGCCCATAGTAAGCATGTAAATGTATAATGAATGATCGGACCTCATTTTTCTATTTAATAGATCCATGATTAGAAGAATTGGCAGCTGGATATATAAAGGAAAGTAACATTTACTGGTCACCTGTGCTAGGTTCTTTGCATACATGATTTCATTTTAATATTCAGAAATTTACTGTCGAGGTAGGTATTTTAATTCTTTTTACAGAAAGGGATAGTGAGGTTTACAAAATTTGAGAAACTTTCTAGGAAGTAGTAAATAGCTAGAGTAAGTAGCAGAGCTGGTTGAAACCCAGATCTTTTTCTCTCCAGCCTTTACACTACACACCACACTGCAAAGTTTTCTCTATTCCTTAAAACAAGAGCCCCTGCTGTCTTCCCGCATTCTCTTCCCATCATGTCCTTCTCTTCTAGATGAGCTTTGCCGTCAGATGGTTGGTCTGCCCCCGAGGAGACTCCGTCGTCACTCCAACTCCAATTACGTCCTGGTCAATCTCTGTGAAAATGTGGATTTGCAGAAACTCAGTGGTCTGTGATCATCAAAAAAGAGGAAAGAAGAAAAACTATGTGGGTGAGAGGAAGGAGAAGCTCCTTCTTCTTTAACCACTGACAGCTAACCTATAGACAGTATTTCTTAAAACCAATCCTTTTACCCCGACTTTTACACCGACTCTCTAATTTTTCACCCAAACTGATAGCATTTATCTCATTTTTTAGCACTTAAAATACGAAGTCTATATTATTGCATAAATTTGCTGCTTCTCAATACCATAGACGTAGTGAATAGATGATGACTGTATATGGCTTATATGCAAACATTCTATGTACAATTTCAAGGGAGAATAAACTTTAGGCTAATTATCTTTACTATTGAATCTGTCTGATATAGATCTTAGGATTGAAGAAGTTATCCTTGTCTATTTCGGCTAACCATCTAACTTCATTTATTTTCCTCAGAAGAGTTTCCTAGATTAACTCCCCATATTTACATGTTCCTCCTTCTTTACTCTTATTTTAACTATTTTGCTGCCTTGCCTGAAAATTTGGCTGGCAAGTATTCCTTATGAGACAGATCATGGTAATTTTTATAGTCCTGGAAGATTCTGCAACACAGCTAAGAATTATACAATCCCACTAGCAACATATAAGGACCCCACATGTCTTCTGTTGAGCTCAGAGGTTACAAAGCATGAGGACTATGCCAGATATAGAACTTGGAGTCATAATTCCCAATTCAGTTTTTCATGCAGTTGTCCAGTTGGGGAAGTAAGGCTGGAAAGTAAGTCTCATTTACTGATTTGCTTATGGTAGCACTGGGGTTAACCCACCTCCACAAAGTAAACTAGACAACTTCATGTGAAATCATATCATTGTTTGGCATTTCTCTGAGTTGCGACTTCGTTCATCCTCATGACTTACCAAGGGCACTGTAGATTTACTATGCACATGGCTTCCAGAATATCCTAATTGGTGCTAAGAAGGGCATTCAGACTCGAATTTTAATAGGCAGACAGAAAGTGTGCCTAACGGTTAATATGAAAGAGTGAAAGAAACACAGTATTCAGACAACCCGCATTCTTATACTGGCTCTAGAAGTCACCATGTAGCCTTGGATAAGTCATTTTCTTTCATTAGGTCCTGGTTTAATGTCATCTTTAAAATGAGAAGGTTATATTTATATTAGTTCTTCTGGGCGCGGTGGCTCACACCTGTAACCCCAGAGCTTTCGGAGGCTGAGGCAGGTGGCTCACTTGAGGTCAGGAGTTTGAGACCAGCCTGGCCAACATGGTGAAACCTCGTCTCTATTAAAATACAAGAAGTAGCTGGGCGTGGAGGCGGGAGCCTGTAATCCCAGCTACTCAGGAGGCTGAAGCAGGAGAATCACTTGAACCTGGGAGGCAGAAGTTGCAGTGAGCCAAAATCGCACCATTGCACTCCAGCCTGGGTGACAAGAGTGAGAGTCCATCTCAAAAAATAAAAATAAAAATATATATATATATTCGTAGTTCTGAGATTTCTCTTAATTCTACGATTCTCTTGATTTAATGCATTATTTGTATTTCTTGAAGCTTAGATACAGTCTAATTCAGACCAACCATATCTGGTTTATCCTAGGTAAGGATAGCAATCCACAATGTAACAGAACAAAATATCATTATAACAAATGACAAATTATGTATTATGAATCCTCTGCCTGAAAAATTCCATAACATTCTATAAAAACCAATGGAAATCAAACAGGAACTAGGAGACACGTTACATATGACAGTGGAGGTTGTGTTCCTTTTATATTGCTGAGAAAACTAGTTAAATAATCAGATTCTTGCTGTTAAGAAACAATTTAGTTTAACGGGATCTGTACAACTGATGAAATGCTAGAAAAAGCCCCAAAGCATATAGTCTCTACTCCTTACAGTCTCTAGAATTAAACATACTCATTTAGACACACACTAAATGCATATTGTAGCCACTTTAGAGAAATCTTGTAGGCACGGTTTTCAAGAATCATTTTAAGAATCTCTTCATGAACTTGACCCTCCTACTCCACATTCCAACATTTCCATCAGACAGCACCTCAATTCCAGTATTATGTATGTTCCAAATTAAACATTTAAAAATATTTTTTCCCAATTTATTTCTCAGAATAAAATGTCTTTTGTTCTTGTTCTTTTCCACTTTTCTTTTATGTTTACAAAAAAAAAGGCATGAATTTATGCACTTTTATTCCACTTTAAAAAATGAGTATTGGCCTGACACGGTGGCTCACACCTGTAATCCCAGCACTTTTGGAGGCCGAGGTGGGAGGGTCACCTGAGGTCAGGAGTTCAAGATCAACCTGGCCAACATGGTGAAGCCCTGTGTCTACTAAAAATACAAAAATTAGCCAGGCATGGTGGCAGGTGCCTGTAATCCCAGCTACTCAGGAGGCTGAGGTAGGAGAATCACTTGAACCTGGGAGGCGGAGGTGATCTCACCACTGCACTCCAGTCTGAGTGACAGAGCAAGACCGTCTCAAAAAAAAAGAAAAAAAGAAAACCAATATTGCTCAAATGTCTCTCTTCTGCTATCCTCTATTCTTTCCTTCACTCCACAACTTTACTACCGGTTCCCCAGCACTCCAAATGTATTTATTTATTTATTTATTTAAAGACGGGGTTTCACCATGTTGGTCAGGCTGGTCTTCAGCTCCCGACCTCAGGTGATCCGCCCGCCTTGGCCTCCAAAGTGCTTGGATTACAGGCGTGAGCCACCACGCCCGGCCTCCAAATGTATTTATACTCCTCCAGATGTGACCCTGTTTTTCTTTTCTGTCCCCTGCAAGTGTGACAGTCTTGCTTGGTGAAGTTTCATGCTTTACTCACTTCTATGTGATCAAATTTCTGTGTGTTGCCATTTCTCATTGTTCTTACCTTCTCAACACTTGTAAACTTCTTATTATGTAAAACGAATTCTAACCTTCGTTCCATCCTTTCTTTCTTTTTTTTTTGAGACGGAGTTTCGCTCTTGTTACCCAGGCTGGAGTGCAATGGCGCGATCTCGGCTCACCGCAACCTCCGCCTCCTGGGTTCAGGCAATTCTCCTGCCTCAGCCTCCTGAGTAGCTGGGACTACAGGCACGCGCCACCATGCCCAGCTAATTTTTGTAGTTTTAGTAGAGACGGGGTTTCACCTTGTTGACCAGGATGGTCTTGATCTCTTGACCTCGTGATCCACCCGCCTCGGCCTCCCAAAGTGCTGGGATTATAGGCCTGAGCCACCGCGCCCGGCCTCCATCCTTTCTTTCCACATCCTTACAAAGCCTTACTTCCCCCTCTGACTTTCCACGGAGAGAGGGCCCAGATCAAGTTTCACGCGGTTGTTTTGGTCCCAGCCACTCCCCTTCGTACCCTCCCCACTGGCGGAAATTCCATCACCTCCCTTAGTTGTTGTTTACCCTGTCCCATCTCAGATCCCTGATAATCTTGTTTCCTCTCCTGTTCCCTCCCAGGAAAGAACCTAGAAAAC